TGTCATGTAGGTGCTCGTCCACAAGATTTGGTCCATAAATCCTTAAGTGACCAAATTTCATTCTTTGTCCTGACTAGCCTTAATCTGAAGCCTGATTTCATTATGAAGAGTGAAGTAGGACCTAAGAAACTGCATTTAGAGATCCTTCTATAAAGTTGTTAAGAGTCTGCTCCAGAGTGATGTCTGAGGAACAGGAAGGCATGCATAAGCCTGAGTCCCCCTCCGTCCCAGGGCCAGGGTGTGGGTGTGTGTGTGTGTGCGCGCGTGCAGGACAGGAAGGCTACTTCTATCCGCTGGCTCGGTGGTGCCAGGGTACTTGTGTCGAAGAGCAAACACTATGTGATCTTCCATGCCACACTATTCACCTCCTGACTCAATATCCTGGGGGTTGAGAAAATGACACTTTGAAGACCCTAAGAAAGTAGAGACTTGGGGCCTGGGATTTAGCTCAGTGCTTCTGCTGCCTGCCTTGCAAGCACAAGAACCCAAGTTCGGTCCCTGGTACCAAAAAAAAAAAAAAAAACAAAGTAGAGACTTGGTTATGAACTGAGGGAAGGATTTCTAGTGTGGGGTACAGGAGCCAATGTCATGATTGCTTCAGAATATGCTGGCCCTGAATTGGTCCTGAGCTTTGTCTTTTTGCTCATAGAAAGACATTAGTTTGCTTTTATTTCTCTTAGCTGTTAATACTTGAATGAAAATTCTCATTTTAAATTGAAATAAGATATTTCTGTCTTAAATACAACACAGTAATGGCACATAAATGAAGGAGATATTGTATCTTTTTTTTTTGGCACTGGGGATGGAACTTGGGACCTTGTACTTGCGAGGCAGGCTGCAGAACCAATGAGCTAAATCCCCAGCCCATGAAGGAGATGTTGTAGATAAGCAAAAAAGCTTAATACTATTTTTAATGTTTTGTTTTGTTTTTCAACACTTCAGATTAAACCAAGGGCCTTCATACTGAGCTATACTTCCTGTCCAATATGTATTTTTTTTATTTTGAAACGGAGTCTCACTAATTGCCCAGGCTGGGCTCAAACTTGGGATCCTCCTGCCTTCGCTCTCCAGAGTGCTGGGGATACAGGTGTGTGCCACCATTCCTGGATTCACAATGTTTTGATTTTGTTAACGTGAGAAAGTAAATAAATATGTGTTTTCAGATGTTTTAATAATCAGTGGCTTAATCCACGCAGAGCTTATCTCCTGGTTAAAAAGCCACATCCAGGAGCATCTCAGGGAGCTGGACAGAGGGAGAATGTGTTCAGACCTCAGCTCTGCTCCCTAAACCAGGGATTCCGGGAAAGTTGTTCAGTCCCTTTTCTACTTCAGTTTTCTTACTGGCAAAAATTGGAACAACTATATCTACCTCACAGGGTTTTCCCAAAGATCATTTAGCATGGTGTCTGACACATAGTAAGCACTCAGTACAAAAAATATATATATATTATTGCTTTATTTTTGTGGTGCTAAGGATTTAACCCAGGGCTTTGCATGTGCTGGACAAACCCTTTACCACCAAGCTACACCCTAGCTCTCGTAATTTTTTAAAGGAAGATGCCAAGAAGCTAAGGTGGCACACACCTGTGATTCCAGCACGTGGAGGCTGAGGCAGGAGGATCGCTGTGAGTTTGAGACCAGCCTGGGCTACATAGTGAGTTTCAGGAGTCTCAACTTACACACCTGTGATTCCAGCACGTGGAGGCTGAGGCAGGAGGATCGCTGTGAGTTTGAGACCAGCCTGGGCTACATAGTGAGTTTCAGGTCAGTCTCAACTACATAGTGAGACCCTGTCTCAAAAAACCAAAAATAAAATAAAAAAGAAGCTAAGAGTAATAGTGGGCTAAAAAGGCAGACAAATGTTTTCTTCAGTTCTCTGATCCTTCTATTTCATCTATCTTCTCTGTCATCTCTGAATTTACAAGTTCCATTTTTCCTTCAAGATCCCAAATCAAGTACTGCATACTTCAGGAAGCCATTCAGTAACTTCAGAAGTGGTCACTTTCTTCATTTTTACCCTTTCTCTGTATCATTCTCTCTCTCTCTCTCTCTCTCTCTCTCTCTCTCTCTCTCTGATGTTGGCATTATTTGAATACCCTTGTCATCTGCCTTACACCGTGCCCTAGTAGCCTATGTGGCTGCTGATGTGTAAATGAAAGGCCACCCAGAGAGCAGACAAGGTGAGGTTCTCCTGAAGACATGTTCAGTGGTTTCCTTTTCTGGTAGGGGAACCTAATGTGTAAAGCAGGGTTATTCACACTTGGCCCCATTGAGCCCTTTCCTGGAATTACGTATGCTCGTGTCATAGTTATCACGAGTGAATGTTCAAAGTGGAAGATGGACAGCACTGATGTTTTTTCTTTCCTTTTGCTTTTCTTTTTTTGGGGGGGAAGGAGGAAAAAAGGTTAAGAATAAGGGAAAGAAACCATTTGCCCCTAACTCGGGTAGAAGTTATGGATAACTCCTGAATACCTGCACAAATGAAGTGATTAACTTTGCTACTCCAGAAAAAAATTTTAATCCCAAAGTCATTTATTTTGGCTTTAGAATAGACTAGCATTTGTGTCGGATTTTCCTGCCTAATTACTTTTTGCTTAAGCTTATTTTAAAATAGTTTTAAATTCCTTTAGTCTGTCAGGCTAGGAAGCAAGCGGTGCAGAAATGGGCCACAGATGGGGCCTGGACCAGAATCTCCCTTTTCTTGTATCAAAGCCTCCTGCGCACTGCTCGGAGGAGAGCTGCGTTGGAGTCAGCTTTGTGTTGAACAGTTTGGCAAAATGTTTCAAAAGTCTTGCGAATATGCTTACTCTTTGATCTGGTAATTCCACTTGTAAGAATTTATCCCAAGGAAATAAACAAGCATGCAGTATGTAGAGACAAGGACAGTCACCGCAAAGGCTATCAGCAAGTAAATAAATAAAACTGGCAGGAAACACTGAATAATACAGCCTTGAGTAAATAAAGTAGGCCGTAATGGGTCAGGGATTCAGCTCAGTGGTTCCGCCGCCTACTTCACCAGCGCAAGGCCCTGAGTTTGATCCCTGGTGCCAAAAAATAATAATAATCAAATAAACTAGACAGTTAGCTCTGCGTGGTATCACAATTGTAGGCTTTAGAAATGTTTACAGTGTCTTGCTAGGTGGAAAAGATTGCAGAGTAGGATGTACAGGATGAAACAATAGCAGATGCAGAGAGAGGTGGAGGGGCTGCTTCTGCAGAAACTTGTTCTGCAGGGTTAAGTTTAGTATCACTGAGGGGTGGAAATTTACGTTTTCAGGTTTTCTGCTTGAGCGTGTAATGCTTTGACATTAGAAAAGGCAACTATCAATTTTAAAAGAATATGTGTTTAATATGTCAGCGGAAAAGTAGAGACATGCTATCTAACGTCCACAAAGCGAGGCTCTAGATGCAGATAATTCGGATAGCATGTGCTTTCTCCAGAATCGCATCCATACATGGGGATTATCGACAGTCACACTGGGTGCACCAAGTCACACAGACCGTGTTGAAATTCTGTTTCCCAAATGAAACAACCGCTCAGTTGACATATGTGAAGTCATAATTGGGAGTCCTGTTTTTGGATACCAGAGTATGGAGGTAGAATTGTCTGTTTTTTGTAGTTGGTTTTTTTTTTTTGGTACCGGGGATCAAACTCAGGTCCTTGTGCTTGCGAGGCAGGCGCTGGAACCACTGAGCTAAATCCCCAGCCCTAGGCAGAATTGTCTTGAGCTAGAAAAAGCCCAGTTTGCACAGCTCCAAGGCCAGTCATAGTCGTGTGCTGCGTGGGGATGTTTTAATCAAGAACAAACCACATACACATCCATGGTTCCATGTCACTGTGACACCCTAGTCTTCTTCGCTTCTGGAAGTATACTCTGTGCTGTTCCCACAGTGACAGAATTGCCTCACAGTGAATTTCTTGGAACACATTCACATGGCTAGGTGATGCATGACTGTATGTATAAAAAATTGTGTTGCCCAAATGACATGATAATACCAGGAACACTTTATATCACTCTGTATCTACTGAAAGAAATTTTGGTAACTTTTTTTTTTCTTTTTTAGCTATACCAGCAATTGAGCCTATTGTCGTTGCACTAGCTATATCCTAGCCTTTTTTTCTTACTCATTTTTATTTTATTTATTCTGAGACAAGGTATCACTAAATTGACCAAGTTAGGTCCAGACTTGTGATCCTCCTGCTGCAGCCTCCTGAGTTCTGGGATTACAGGCTTGCACCCCATGCCAGGCTGACATTTTGTACTGCTTCTCTAGCTCCTCCACCCTACCCCCTTCCGTGGGACTAAACTCAGGTCCTTGTATGAATTAAGCAAATACTCTACCACTGAGCTGCATCTCCTTTCTGTTACCAACTCAGAACTCTAAATCCAAAGTCCAGGTGGGGAAAGAGGAAGTATACGATAAATGATGACAAACCTCTGATGACCCCTGGATAATGCTTGGCTTGCATATGAAAGAACGTTGCTTTATATGATCAGCTGCAGAGAAAATTGTTTCTTCACTGTGTGTAAGCCTCACCTCCATACACATGATAGGGTCCTCTTTTAGTTGCAATCCCAGGATTCCTAGGATACCGTGTGGCTTCCCTGAAGGAAAGAGCTTGCAGGTCTGGCTCCCTGTCATCTAAGGTCAGATGGAAAAGCCTTTTGTGATTAACTCAGCCACAGTGTGTCTGGTATTTGGAACGTCAGTAGGAGTTTTTGATTAGTTCTCCAAATTTTGAACACTGACCCAAATAAGCTTAATGTAATGGAAAAAGCAGATAAATCTAGCTCTTTTGATGCCAAATTGAATCCTGGATTACCCACTAGCTGTGACCTTGAGTCAATTGGATCAGTATGTAAGAATCTCAGTCTCTCATTGAGTTAGGAGAGTGGGTCCTTCCCACTGTTCCTTGTCAACTGCAAAGCCATATCCCCTAGAGGGACTAATGCAGGCCTTTACAAACATACTACCTTCTCCTGCTTTGTTTCTGGCAGTTTCCTTATGCCGCCCCGCCTCCCCAAGAGCCTGTGAAGACACTGAGAAGCCTGATCAACATCCGCAAGGACACGCTGAGACTCGTCAAGTAAGTTCCCGGGGGTCCAGGGCTTGGGCCCGGTCCCAGATGCCCTCCTCCTTGCAGGGCAGGGCGTGGTCTCAAAGAGCAGCTTCTGCCAGGCCCAAGTTCTGCTGCCTAGGCCTTGAGGGTGTCAGCTGTGGGTGCTGCCGAGGCACTGTGCCGGTTTAGATTCAGACTCTGCACCAGTCGTTCAGGTTTCACGCACCAGTGGGAAGAACTTTCATTTGTCTAGACTTGGGTCGGTGTTATCCCTGTTTTGCAGATTAAAGAAAGGAAGAATTATTGAGAGAAAAGGGGGATTTTGCAGACGGCCCAGAAACCAGTGTAATAATGAGGTGTTTAAACTTCCAATATGAAATCCTTCTTATTGCTTATGTTTACTTTTTTAATTCTTTTTTTGTTTTTTTGAGTCAAGGTCTCACTATGTGGTTCAGGCCGGCCTTGAATTTACTATGTAGCCCAGGCTGGCCTTGAACTCGCAGTGATCCTCCTGCCTCAGCCTCCTGAGTTCTGGGACTACAGTACCATGCCTTGCCTATGTTTACCTTTTGTCCCTAACTTCACATGCCTTTTCTCTGAGGAACCCATCCTTCCCTGGGTTGGTTGGTTGATCCTCCTTGTTATTGTCATCCATATTCACCTTGTTTGTGCCATCCTGAGATACTGTAACTTTTAATCTGACTCGGTCCCCTATGCCAATGTATCCACCATGGCTCTCTAGTTCCCTGGGGAGACAAACTTGGTTAGAACAAACCAGATTTGCAGAATAGGCAAGGAAAATGCTTAAGAGTCCATTTTTTACTAGAGGTCAGCCTTATTAACATTTGGAAGGTCTTTCTGATCGGGGCAGGTGCTAAGGATTGAACCCAGGGTTGCTCTACTACTGAGCTACATTCCCAGCCCTTTTATTTTATTTCTGTGTTTTGAGACAAGGTCTTGCTAAGTTGCCCAGGCCGGCCTCAAACTTCCTGTCCTCCTGCCTCAGCCTCCCAAATAGCTGAGATTATGATGTGCATCAGCATCCCTGGCTGCTAATTAAATACACCAGATTGTTGAGGTAGTATTCATATACCATAGAATGTACTCATTTAAAGTGTACATTTCAGTGATTTTTAGTATATTCACAGAGTTTTAAGTCAGGAATTTTAGAACATTTTAACTGCCCCCAAATGAAACCCCATACCCCTTACTGGGCACTGCCATTTCCTCCTCACCCCTCCTCCAGCCCTAAGTAACTACAAATCTTTCCACTACTGTAATTCCCTCCCTCCGTCTCTCCCTCCCTCCGTTTTATATTTTATTTGTCCTCAAACTTTCCTACTACTTGTGCTGCAGTGCTTCTCTCCACCCCTGGGGTCAACTCTGGGGACAGGGGAGTCGAGGAGGCCCTTGTCCACTACCGCATGCCCACTCCTCCTAGGGAGTCCCACAGCCACTGCAGCCGGAGCCTGGCACGGCCTGAGGCCTGCCAGCCGCCTAGTACCCTGTCCACTTGGTTTCCCTCATCAGTATGGGCTGTTCGCACATTTGAGGGAGACAGGTGCTTAAGCCCCTGTGAGGGCCTCGTCCTCGAGGTGGTAGCCCAGCTGCAGGCCTAGGATAAAGCGAAGCAGCTGCACTGTGCTGGGAGGACTGGCCTGAGAAGCAGAAGTCCAGTTTGCTTCCCAGCTCTATGTGGGATGAGTTTCCAAGCTTCAGGTTTCGCATCTGTAAAGTGACCGTCAGCCTTGCCTTTCATGGTGGTTGTCAAAACTGAGCCCGATAAAGAAGGGAGAGTACCTGGTATTCAATAAATGCTATAGTGAAAAGTGTCATTGTGTTTTGTGTGCTTATTTATTTGTGGAGTCAAACCCAGGGCCTTGTGCCGGCTGGGTGAGCACTTTACCACTGAGCTACGCCCCGGCACTTACTAGATTTTTCCGAAAGCATTGGAAGAGAGTAAATCCTGATTCTCAGAATCCAGGTGAAGATAAAGGAATGAACATTTTCTTCTTCTCCAGAGCCCACTGAATTAAAAAAATGTTTATGAAAGGCATGAATCACAAGAATTAGAAGAATGGGAAAGGAATAACAGCATCAAAATGTTAGAAGCTGGAGACAGATGGTGAAAGTCAAATAACTTAACAGACCCAGGATATCAGAACTCTGAGCCAAGAGAAGGAAAAGCTGAAAATTGCCCCCTTTGTAGTGTGCTGTCTCAAGACTCAGGACCTGGCAGAACCAGCTGCCTCTGGAAGTCAATGTGGAGGGCTAGAATGAAGGAGATGGGCAGAGGGTCTGCCTTAGAGGTGGTCAGGTCTTCTCCCTCATGTAACTTAGAGCTGCCCTTCCCATCCTCTGGCCCAGTCTGGAAGATGACTCTCACTGGGGAGCTCAACAGAGCGCCTCAGGACTTAGCCCCAGCACAGCTGAGGGCTAGACACAGAAGCAAAAAAAAGGGGGGGATTATGCACATTTTGGCCCTCCATCCTGCCTTCTCCCTCTGCTCCCAGAACCCAGAAGCCAGGGCTTTTAGGGAGACAAGAAGATGGATATCGGCGAATCAGAGCTGCATATGTGGGAAACCTGAGACTGGCATGGGAGGTTCCTCGACGGACCCAGGTCAGCCGTCAGCCCAGGATCCCCAAGTCCTCTCTGCATTCAGAGTTCTAATCAACAGCTTTAGGTTCCTTAAATATAAGCAGACAACCCCTGATTCTTAGATCTAAGGAATGGCTATAATATGAAAGACAGTGGCAGAACAGCCAAGAGAAAATCAATTGGAGGCAAAGCTATGCAGGAAGAAGAAACCATCATTAGTAGCCTCGGAGACACAGAAAAAGATACCACTTACTCCACGGATGCAATGGCACAAAGTACTTAGGAAAATGCAAAAGGACGCTTAGAAACCATTACAAATGAAAACTTCACGTGACTAGCAGGAAGAAAAATTGAAATATGCTAGAAAGTGGAGCGAATTGGCAGTGATAGAAATAGAGAAGGAAAAATACAAATGACAGCATCGATTCATGTCAGACGTCCACCTGACAGTTCTAGAAAAACAGAGGACATAGAAGGAAGGCAGTCGTCAATGATACATAATCTCAGAGCCTTTCTTAGAACCGGAGGGCACACACCTCTGAGTAGAAAGGGCCAGCAGCTGCTGGCACAAGCAATGGTGAAGACGGGCTTCCGGAAGTCTTCAAAGGAAGCAGGGTCAGTGACTGGAGCCGCTTCCCACTTGGCAGCACTGGGAGCCAAAAGAAACAGCAGGGAAGCTTTCAGACACCTTTCAAAAGTATTTATTACCTGGAATTATTTGTTCAGCCAAACTGAGTGAAGTATAAGTGAGCTCTCAAAACATCTGTCCCCCAAACACATTTTTTAATGAAGCAAGGGAAGATGAAAGGGTAAAACAAAAGTGTAACCCAAGAAAGGAGGACGGGAGATGCAGGCAGGAAACGTGAGCTTCAACAAGACAGAGGCACAGGGAGCCCCAGGAGGATGGAGAGAGGCCTGGATGGTGGCTGTGCACCAGGTGCAGAGGCCCCCAGTCCGAATACGAGCAGGACCGAGGGCTCCCAAAGGGACCTCCTCAAGATGGCAAGCTGAATGGACCACCTACCTGGTGCATCAGAGCGACTTCAGGGTTGGAAATGGCCCGCAGAGTTTGGGTTGGAATTCCGGATGAGCATATATAAAATCAAACAACCAAAATGCCAAGATCCGCACTAACATTAAGGAAAAATTGGGCAGGGAAAGAAAAGAAGTTAAGTTTCTCCATGGCTAAAACGGAATGTAATGCTTTTATAATCCCAGCAGAACAGACGCTAAAGTGCTGGGCTATAAAACGAGGGTATGGCTACCCTGTGGGGATGGTGGGGCTCCTGTATGGGGCAGAGGAAAGGGACGAATCCTCATGCTGCAGTAGGAAATCAATAGGTAATGCCCACAACTGAAAGTCAGAAAGTAGTAACTTGAGTGTGTTACTCAGGATTGTGGTTAAATGCCAAAATGCTCAGCTAGGAGAGGTTTCCTCTGGAGAGGAGGAAAGGGAAGGAGTAAAGCCCACTGTTTTTTGTTTTGTTTTGTTCTGTTTCATTGAGTTTATTGGTACTTTTTAGGTATACAGTACAGTTACATTCATCATTGGGATCTAAAGCCTGCTGGTTTTTAACAAGCCTCGTGGAAACTATTTAAGCTATGTGATTAATAGTCTTGATTAAAATAAAAACTTTTACAAAGGCCCTGGCAAATGCATGAGGATATTAATTATAGCACTGTGAAATATCAGAAATAACCTAATGTTCAACAATAATGGTAATGGAATCCAGTAGTGCCTCAGTGCTTGTTGTTAATTGGTTCTGGGAGGCACAAAGAGTACCAAACAAGTTGTCTAGAAGGGGTAGCAATCATGAGGCAATCGACATCTGACAAGATCTAGCTTGCATATAGAATATCAAACAAACATTGAGTATCAGGACAAAATTTTTTCATGAAAACACAGCAAGTACTGCTGGACGTGGTGGCGCACGCCTGTAATCCCAGCACTCAGGAGGCTGAGGCAGAAGGATCGCTGTGAGTTTGAGACCAGCCTGGGCTACATAGTGAGTTCCAGATCAGTCTCAACTACATAGTGAGACCCTGTCTCAAAAAGAAAGAAAGAAAAAAGACAAGTTCTTTTATGGTTTAGATTGAGAACATCCCTCAGAGGCTCCATGTGCTCATAGGCAAGACTTTTGAAAGCTGAATCATGGGTGACTTAGCTGGCTTCCTGGTAGGAGGTTGACAGTCAGTCACTGAGGCAAGCCCTAGAAGGGCATATGCTGCTCCCGGGCTCCTCTCCTCTCTCTCACCACCTTACCTGCTATGATGTGAGCAGCGTTCCTCCACTCTGCACCTCTGCAGTGCTGTTTCTGCCTAGATGCCAGCCAACTGTGAACTGTAACCATGAACCAAAATAAACCTCTCCTCCTTTAAGTTGTGAGTGTAAGGTTTTTGTCCCAGTAACTGAGACAAATACCAAATTCAGTGAGTTTCATAGTTGAATACCAAGGTAGGACTGTACTCCGTGGTCATTCAAAATAAAGATGTAAACATATGTTACTGACCATGGAGAGAAGCACACAGTTTAGTTTTTCAAAAGGAAGAAAGATTTATTGTGGCTCCCGTAGCATTAATTTTTTTAAAGCAGAAGATGAGTCTTTTTTGTATTTTTTGGTACCAGGGATCGAACTCGGGACCTTACACTTGCAAGGCAGGTGGTAGAACCACTGAGCTAAACCCCTGGCCCAGAAGATAAGTCTTAAAATCCTAATATGCTGCCTCTTTTGTGCTTTTCTAGATGTGCTGAGGAAGTGAAGAGCGCTGGAGAAGAGGCCGGCCGAGCTAAAGTTCACTACAACGTTGAGTTCACCTTTGACACAGATGCCCGGGTAGCCATCACCATCTACTATCAGGCCACTGAGGAGTTCCAGAATGGAATTGCCAGGTGAGCTGCGCCTTCCCAAACAGGAAAGGTCTGTGCCTTATGCAGTCTTCTATGAAGGAAGGCATTCCTTTTTACAGTCAAAGAGATCTGGTTCCTGAATTTAGATTTTCTTTTACGAAGCGCTATTTTATCTTGTTCCTTCAAATTGTGCCATCTCGGTGCAGTGGCAGATGGTAGCATAATCCCTCAGGTCCTGAAGACACTGTTAAAGAACCTGCTGAGCTGCGGGTGTGTAGGTTGAACATATAAGGTCAGTAACATCACCAGGAAAGAACAGAAGAAGTAGACTAGAAAGGAGATCTTTTTTATGCTAGAGCTAGCTGAAAATGGGAACAGGCACAAGATGGGAGAAACTGACAGATTCCCCTTCTGCCCCGCTTCCCACACTATCCACAGCTATATTCCGAAAGACGACAGCCTGCAGTCGGAGACCGTGCACTACAAGCGGGGGGTGTGCCAGCAGTTTTGCCTGCCCTCCCACACGGTGGACCCCTCGGAGTGGACTGAAGAAGAGGTGAGCCGCGTCTGCCGAGTGCTCCAAGGCCATGTTGGCCATTTAGTCTTGTGTCTGCCGCACGCCTTTACAAGTCTGCTTACTCGCATCCAGGGTACCCTGCCTTTGTTAATTCTTCTATTCCAGTGTAGCGTGTTGACCTAGGATACTTCCAGAAAGCCATGCCCAAAGAAAAGAAGCTGCAAGTTAATAGGACTTTTTAAAAATATATATATATTTTTTAATACCGGGGATCGAACTCTGAACCTTGCGCTTTCGAGGCAGGCAGTGGAACCACTGAGCTAAATCCCCAGCCCGAGAAGCCTTTAATTCCATGAGAGTTTAAAAAAAGTGGCAGCCTTCTGTTACACGATGGTTGTGAGGTTGGTCAGCCAGCGATGAGACCTCCTTTTCGATGGACTGCTGTGCCATTTCCACGTGTTCAGTCTTCTCTTTTCTTCCCTGCAGCTTGGCTTTGACCTGGACCGAGAGGTTTACCCTCTGGTGGTGCACGCTGTGGTCGATGAAGGAGATGGTAGGAGCAGTTTCTGTCTTGCGTGGACCCTGCCCTTTTGGGGAACATGCCTGGCAAAAGCTGTGGCACCAGAGCACCAGGCCTGCTCGTGGACCGCGGGGAGTGTCTGCATCCTCGTGCCTGCGGTCCCCGGCGGCTTGGACAGATGTGGATTATGCGTGCGCCCCTGCTGGTGGCAGCCCAGCATGACTTATTTGCCAGATGTGTGGGGAAGGGGGAGAGCAGAGCATCCAGTGTTGTTGGCTTTCTTCACCTTTGTGCGTCTGTCTCTTTCAGAATATTTTGGCCACTGCCATGTGCTGCTGGGTACTTTTGAAAAGGTAAGTAGCTTTACAGTACACTTAGCCCTTTCTTTCCTGCAGGACACCCTCATTTGCTAGGTGCCTGAACACAGCAGAATAGTCCAGCTTGAGAGGCCGGGTGGTATTGAACAAACAGCATATGAGGCTGTGCTTGAGCAGGGTACAGCTCTACTCCCACCTTGCTGCCTGACCCCCTTAGGCCTCAGTCTCCTCTTCCTAAAATGAAAGGGTTAGGCTGGACCATTGTGAGATCCTGGCCATATCGGGATCCCATCATTCTGCCCTGTGAATGCCCGACATCGTGTGTGACTGAGGGAGGTAACAAGAGTGTGGTGTGCTCTCCTGCCCTCCCCTCCCGGCACGCGTAACTGTCCTCCTTTCGTTCCAGCACACAGATGGGACTTTCTGTGTCAAGCCCCTCAAACAGAAACAAGTAGTAAGTACTGAGGCCTAGGGGCTGTTGGCTACTCCTCCATCCCTTTCTCCCTCTTTGTCTTTTTTTTTCTTTACTCTTTGCTAAGCATTCTTCTTTCCCTCTTTTTAAAACAAAGAACAAAATAAAAAAGGGAGTTCTCTTTTGTGTGAGAGTCTACTTGGGTGGCCTGTAAGGAATCCAAGTTTTGGTGTCTTTATTGTTCTAGAATTGTTGGTTGTGAGGCAGCTGTTATCTGAGCAAAGGACCTGAGAAATGAAAGACAAGATTTGTCCCGACATTGGGTTTAAGGAGAACTATTTATGTAAAATGTCGGGGTGAGAAACCTTCCAAATGAAAGGGTAAAATATTGGGGTCCAATTCAGGATCAGAGCTTAATTTATCCTACCGTTCCATTCTAAAGTTCAGTGTGCTGGCCACCCGCCCCTTCCAGAATGAGCAGCAAGGTCTGCATGGCTGCCAGAAGTCCTCATCCCAGGGGTGCCAGCACTTCTCTTTCCACTCTTGCAGAGGTAGGAGAGATGTCATGGATGGCGAGAGTGGTATCAAAGGCCTTGGCAAGGGAGGATGTGGAGAGAAGGTCATCTCGTGGAAGGTGGAAGCAAGGAGCCGGGAGGCAGGGCTGGCCTTTATGGAGGTACAAGCCCTTCCCCCTTGCAGATGGATGACAGACATCTGAAATTCTGCATTATCTGTTCTTTTAGGTGAAGCGCTTGCCTCTCCTACAATGAGGTTGACATCAGTCAGTCACACCTTAAAATAATTAGTTAATAATGTCCTTTTCAGTATAATTGTTAGGTTAGAACAGATTTGAAGAGCGGCAGAGGCTACCCCAGGTCCTTAGGCCAGGGCTGTACCCAGGCAGACCTGACCTCGGTGAGTCGGCTCATGAGGAAGCCTTGCTGTATCTGCTCTAGCAGCAGACTGTCCCACAGCAGACAGGGAGATGACATCAGGGCCAGGCTGTCTGTGAAGAGGGGATTTCTGGGGACAAAGATGAGACAGAAGGGAGGAGTGGGCTCCAAAAGGGCATCGGGGAAAGGCCGGTGTAGACACGGGAGTGGGCATTGGTGGGGTCTAAGAAATAAGCCCAGAGGGGTAATTTTGCTGCATGTTGCTTCGAAGGGGGATGTGCGCCCCTGGCCCCTCCTTCAAGGCCTCACATCTCCCTTCCATTTACATTTTTCTCTCTCTCTTCTTTTTCCTTGCCCATTTCTTTGTTCTCTCTCTCTCTCCCTCTGTCTCCCTCTCT